CATTTATTAAAAAAGGAGGCGTTGGAAAGCTGAAATTTAGCATAAAATTCACTTGGAAATATTCAGTATCTAACTAAAACTGCAGATGTTCAGAATACTTTATTGAAATTCTCTTATAATTATAAAGTTTAAAGTATTTAAAAATACTTTAAACTTTGTAGTAGAACGAAGCAAAATGGAGAGTACAATTATAACAATCACATATTCATTTCACAGAATGAAAAGCCCTGGTAGAATCATTAGAATCAAAATGTTTAATAACAATCATTCAAAAAAATTACAAAATGTATGCTTCTCCATTCTCCCATGGAGAAGAAAAATGCTCCTTCATGGAATAAATAAAAGGTGACCTTAGTAAATTGAAATAATCAAACAGTTAATAATGAAAATGTATAAAAAATAGTGTTGTTATAACAATTCTATTTCGTTATTTAAAGTTGCGCATTTTGATGTGACGTCACATTTCTCACCCCCCCCTCCCCTTCCTCGTCACACATCGTCACAAATGTCTGACCCCCCCTCCCCCCCTAGGTGCGTGACGTCATTTACGGACGGCCCCTAGGAAATAACTTTCGAAAACAGATATCTTGTCAAGTGAAATCAGTTTGACATGTATGAATTCGTCTGCGAGCGACTAGGCTATTCGAACAAGAAATGCAAGCAGACAGGCAGAAATACATCGTTGTGCATTGAAAGCTGAAGCTATAGCTCGAACGCCAAAGGCAATCAATCCGTCTGGCTAAAATACTACAAAAGGTAAAATTGTTGCTGTGGCCATACAAACAGTCCAGCACAAACTCATTTTGGAAGAATTCACGTGTATGGAAAATAAAGTTTACCGAGGATAAATAGCGTTCTCACATACGCTGTACGTATATTTTACAGTACATTATAAAATTTATCTTCTGTACCTGTCACAAGGGAGAGAAAAAAATAACAATGTCTGTCCAATCTGTTATCTTAAAAGAACATACTCTTACAATGTGAAACACTTTGTTGCGCTGAAGGTGGAGATGGAAGAGCCTTCTGTCGTTCAGGGAAATTGCTTGCGCTGTGTGGCTTGGTGCACGACAAAGTCCCAAAAAAAAGTATTTCGTCAAACTTTTTCGGATGGGAAATTTTTAAACGAGCTCAACATGTTTGCAAACATTATTCGTGTTGGGAGGTGAGCTCTGTTTGCACATCCACCAAGCTACAATCACAAGTGTTCTCGAAATGTGCAGCTGCCCGAGTTAACTTACACGGTGTCTCATAAGTCTGGAATCATAGGAAAAAGAATACAATCCGGGCCCTTCACCTGATGAAGGCCACTTGTGTTGTGGCCGAAACGTCGTGATTTTTTGTTATTTTATTTTTACCTACGTGACTTTACCGAATAGAACCAAAGAGTATGGATCCTTGCAGTCACGAAAGCTTTAAATCTAGAAAAGAATACAAAAAGGCAATAACGCTTTTATTCACAGCACGTGCTCAATGTGTCCACCATTGTTCCTGACACACAACTCCAATGGTTGTGTCATCGTCGGTGGATCTCCTCGAATGTTCACCGTGTGGTTTATTTCGTATGGATCGTGTTTCCCTAAACTTTGCAGCAAGTTTGCTAACAGAGCTCTATGTTATTGGCTCGCGGCCTTAATGCAGTCTGTTAAGTTCAACAGCGACCTCCCCCCGTCTCCGATTTCCTACGAGTAGAAATGATCTGCACTCGTTCTTCCTTACTCAGATACATCTTGGGTCTTCAGAAACCCAACAAAATATGAATTCGTTATTTTTCCCTATGATTCCAGACTTATGGGACACCCTGTATTAATTCATCATCAGCCATGATCTATGCATTGCGGGATGAAGACCTCCAGAAGGCCTCGCCATCTGTCACGGTCACGCGTTGCAACTATCCATCTACCTGCTGCACACAAAACTAATTTCATTATTGCATCTCTGCTGTTGAGGTCCTCTCAGAAATGTTCTCTCCTTTTGTTGGCACTCCGTTATTAGTCTTGAACACCAACCACCAACCATCATCCATTCCAGTGACGAGTCTTGCCCAAGTCTACTTCTCTAAAGTCAATGTGTCAAAGCTGTGCGTGCTCTATAATCCACGTGGGTTCTCTCTGTCATTTCCGTGCTTTAGACTGCGTTTTATTTTCTTTGTCAATGTTTCCAATCCACACATCTTTGGTAAAACGACACTAATCGAGAACTTTCAAACTTGAGGAATTACAGGTCTATTAACCTCGTTTCGCACATATACATAGTTCATGGAGATAACTGGGAAAGAATGCCAAATGCTGCAAACTTAAGTTTAAACTATTAAATTATCTGCACTTTTGATTTAAAGCTTTCGTGACTGCAGTAATTCATATTCTTAGTTTTTTCGGTAAAGTCACGTTGAAGAGAAACAACAAAATAACAAAATATATATAAAACAATAAAAAAAATTCTCACGACGTTTCGACCATAACTCAAAACGTCGTGAGAATTTTTTATTGTTTTATATATATTTTGTTATTTTGTTGTTTCTCTTCAACGTGACTTTACCGAAAAAACTAAGAATATGAATTATCTGCACTTGTTTCATCAAAGTGAAATATTATTGCTTCTCTTTCAACAGATGAGATTTGCACATTATTGAGCCATCACAATCATGGCCCAGTGTACCGACATGGTGTAGGCTGGCAAGGCCCAAGGCTGACACCACCACCACCCTCTCCTCTTATCTGGACAGATCTGCCCAAGAAGAAAACTTTTAACTCGGAACAGTTCTGCAAGGAAATTTGCCTGCTCGGCCTATGGTTTTTTGACAATTTACGTGACCCATATGACCACACCCAACCAATCTTGTGCTGCTGCACATACATTGTGCAAAATCGTCACGATTGAACAAAATTACGAGTCACAAGATAATATATACAACCTTTCATAATAAAGGTTTTTTCGTTAGATCGCGTTATTTATATGTCGTAACCCTCCACCACCCGACACGGCCAATCAGCAAAATAAAGTGTCACGTTGAAAAAAGACAATTAGTTCACTACTTTACCTTACTTACTCAGTGGTTGTTGTTGTTGTTGTTTGACTTGCATCCCACTGGGATTTTTGCACACAGCGTTGGTGTACGGTGCTTTTTTCTGGGATATTTTTGCTGTTTTTTCCTGGATTTTCTGTTTGCACAGTCACACAGTCACTTTAAGATGTTTTCTTGTTCATGTTTTTGTTTTTTGTTTGTTGCGGTTGCACCCGATTCAAGAGCCGAATGGCTCACAGGGCTATACCAAATAAATTCAACTGTAATAAATGAAGCAACATTTATAACAAAAACATGGTCGTACGCAAAATCACTGCAATACATTAACAAAATTTCACTACAGCTTGGGACTATGGTTTTAACGTGTGCAGATGTATGTACAACACACACAATGAAGCGTACCCCACAACATTGTGTTCATTCAGGACACCGAATTATTATTTCAGAAGTGAGACCTGTAACTTTTGTATTTAAATGTCAAGGTTTCCTATTTTGTGCTATAACCACTGTATATGTACTAAGCCAACATCAACTTGTTGCACGATTTCTGCCGACGTATCATTCGATGGCCAGTGGAAACCGTGCTGGCCTGGTGCTTACACACGCGGTGGCGCCAAGGTGGCGAAATGTTAACTCCCTCGCCTGATATGCAGGAGAACGTGGGTTCAATCCCAGTTAGCGTGCTACGCTACGAACCTGGCGACCCAGGTTCAATTCCCGCTCCCAGCCAACACCAGTGACGATTATCTGAACCGGTTCTGGGCCTCCCCTAGGTCGACTCAGCCTCAAATGAGTACCTGGTGCAATGTGTAAACATCGCCACTGAGGAGACAAAGGCGGCCAGGCGTGGTGCTGGCCAACCATCCCCTCGTGTAACGTTCTGGCATTCATAGGTGCTCACTAACAGCACTTGTCCCTACAGTCAAAGGCTATACGGGGGGAATCTTTGATCCCGACCCAAACGCATGTATATTTTGAATTTGCAGGTCTCACATCCCGTGGTCGTGTGGATTATTCTCCGGGTCCTCCGGTTTTTCCCTCCACATTTAGAATCAACATGCGTTTAAAGTATTTGGCTCCTATACATTTCCACATAAGCCACTTAATTGAGCTATCATTTGTGGCCAGGTCGCTTCTGAAAAAGAGCTGTATAGCTCAGTGGGCCTTACGTGGTCAAATAAAAAAAAAGTGGCTGGGCTCAAGAATAGGCATTTCCATGGAAACTCTACGGAGTCAAATCGATGATCCCATGAAGGCCTCAGGTCCCTGGACTCACGTATTGATCTGTGCCACACACCAAGCTGGGTCCACGATAGATCCAGTCGCAGGGACGGTGCTGAAGTGAGGTACGTGCTTCCACGTCACACTGGGGGTTCAACTTACCAACTGCGTCTGTGTTAACGGCACATTTGGAAAACGTTATAACAGGAAAAATCGTGAACATACGTTTGTTCCCGCAAGTATTTAATTCGCAATAATGTTACCTTCTCGGCAGCAAAACGATATGTCACACTAAATAACATTTTGGAGAAGTGTGCAACATCACCATGGTTAAAAAGCCTTATACGGTGCATTATCGCTGCCTTTTATTGCCAAGAATTAGGCTACCTGCCTGAGCTCAGAGCCTCGTGGCTGATGACGCATTGGGACTACAGACCGAGGCCCTGGTTCTATTTCAGGGTCACAACTTGACCCCTTCCTAGCAGGCTGGCAAGTGCCCAAATGCCAGTGATCATGGAAAGATAAACATGGAGCATCTGCCTCCTTGACGTGAACTGCTGGGCATGTGAAAAAGAGTTTCATAGCTCATCCGATTTCTCTAGGATAGATATTCTGATCCTGGTTCTGAACTGGTTCTGAATTGGTGCAAATTTACCATGGTAAAATGTGCCAATCACAAATAAAATAAACTGCCTTTAAAGCATTTGCAACTCATTTTAATAGGCATCTCGATTCAAATAAACAAAGTCAATTCTTTTTTTTAATCAGTGCAGTTTATTTTTATTCAAACATAACATTTTTCGTCAAGACATTCATCGAAGTAGCCGTCTCCAGTTTTTACGTAAAAGCATATTTACTTAAGATTGACAAGCAACTGTAAAATCAATGTGCGTGGTTTCTGCATCCATGTGGCCAAATAAAACAAGTCCAACGTTTAATAATATGGCTTTGAGCAAATGCACACAAGCATAAAAAAGTGAGACCGTGCACAATCCTCTTGTGAACAAATAAAAAAAAACATTTGAAATCGGTATGGGGCACAACGTGCTCAAAATTTGGTGCATGACCCAGTTCAAGATTAAGTGAACGCACCGTGTGTATGTGCAGCAGAGTGCAAAAAGAAACGGTTACAGCCTCGTTACGACACTGGTAGACTGTAATATGCATCAGCCACGGCATGAACAAGAGGCGCGGTGTACTTTGTAGAGCTTGATAAGATTAATCTTTAACGGTCACATTGTGCCCCAATAATTTTTTCCCCATTCAAAACGATTTAAATCCCAGCCATATGCAATATGGGAAAAAAAAATCACTTCAAATGGTTAACAAGAATGCGGCCTAATGCATGAAACAAAGAAAGTATGCCGGGAGAGGTTCCAACTAAGAGAACAAGGTCAAGCAAGTGAACTCTAACCAACATCATTTGATTCAGAAGAAAATGCCCCTTTATTGTCGTGAGGAATACGTTTTCAAGAGAAAATGACAATTATCTTCTATATGCATTGTCGGCCTTTGCCATGCCCTGAAAAGCACAAGGGGGCCCCGGTCGCTCAATAAAATGCACCTCTAGCAGTCCACGACGCACCATGCATACTCCCTCAGGGAAACCCTGCAAGGCATTCGATGATAATGCCCTGACGATAATCAACGTAATTTTGAGCAAGCCTAAAAAAAAACTGTGATTAAGCCTGAAAATAGGAATTATGTTGGTCTCTACCAAATAACATTTGCAATAATGTGTAAATCCAAGTACAAAAAAACTATTGCATTTCTGCATAGTGCATGTAAATGCAATTCAAGTATATTAAAACAACTTTATATCAATGTGCAAACCAGACTCAAAGTCCAAAGAAACGTATTGCCTAACTGTTTAAACAGCAATTTTTGATAAACACTTTCATATATTTACTTGCTGCAAATGCAGCAACTCTATTTAATGCACACGAAGAGAGAAATAACATCCTTTCCTGTGCACCCAAAGCAAAATTAACTCGACTTCAATATAAACACTTTGCTACTCAATAACAATATTCTGCGGTTGCCATGAACTTATTTTAGCCATGGGGAGCAGCGGCGGCGATTGGCGCACTGCAGCATTAACCCGGCGACCGGACGGCAGAAGGCCTTCATCATTCAGCAGTGGATTGGCAAAGGGCTGTCCGTTATTTTATCCACGTTGTGAATGGTGGCACTCATGGGAAGAACTTAAGTTCCGTGAGAAATTCGGATTACACGCAAGAGCTAAAGCAAATGTATCACTGAGATGAAAGATAAAGCATCTTTACTACTGGAGGGAAAAAAATCAGTTAGATTGTCAAGGCCAAATAGGTAAGAATTAGTGTTCAACGAGGAATATATATATACGACATTGCTGTTCCCTCTATACCTCGTCAATATTGTTTAGATATGTCAACTGCATTTATACGTGAAAACAGATATTTCTGCCCCCATCAATCATAATAGTTTCGTGATAAATTACATGAATTACTTTAGATTCAGACCTAAGTCTTAAAGCCCTCCCAGAGCTCCGTAACCAATCACCAACAACTCAAGGATATCTAACAGCGGCCAACATCCTCAGTATTGTACAGACCTTGTTCCCCAAGCTTGACTTTCTCCTATACAAGCTATTCTGCAAAGAGATGGCTCACTCAAAATATTTACCAAATAGCTGCACGACCATGGCCTTATTATTTTTTTAAGGTCAAGGATACATGCAGTAAAACTAAGTAAATGCAAAAAGTGTTAGAGGTGGCAGTGGTAGATGACATTTGCCTCACTTAAAATGGAATGGTAAGTTGGTAAGGAAATCATTAAGTGCCGTACACCATGGAGTGCGAATCGGAGGAGAGGTGTTTCGGAGGCAGCAGTTAGAAAAAAGTAACCTACAATGGCTTGCGGTCGGAACTGGCCCATCTGCCATGCATGAGATTCACGCGTAAGAACCATACCTGGCAATGGCCATTTACAATCAGCTGATGTGTAATGTACAAGAAATGGCCCTCCAGGAAATATTAAGCCATGATAACGTTTCAGAATTTCCACATCACTATACGAAAACAAAGGAAAACATGTTCCCAATTGTATGCTGTGAAAAATGTATAAATATAAAGTGGCATCTACCTTAATTCAAATCGCAAGTTGTCTCTGGAATAGTGTGGCTGAGCTGCTGTAAAGACACCAATTTATTGTTGACTAAGGTTTTTTTTGTCATAAAGAATTTAGGTCCAAATGCTGACATGCGTACTGTAGTGAAAACTGAAGTTGACAGAGTGGTCTTTAAAAAAGATAAATCACACACAAGGTCATGTCAGCTCTGGAGGGAAATCTGTCGGTACCACGCTGCTGAAAAGCACCATATAAATGGAATTATTAGTTATTATTAGGCAAAACATTACAGATCCCTAAAAAAATGGTATTGTAAGGGGCATTTGCAATGTTGAAAAACATAAGCTTTAAAAAGCTGCACCTACCATGTATCAGGAGTATTTCAATACTCCATCAGTATATGCTTATAATATAACAGGTACATTGACACTAAAGCATATAATTGAAACTCTATATAGTGTGAGCAGTTCCATTGGCTTCCAATTCAATATTTTTTACAACCAATCCTGCAAATGCAGTTACTTATTTATGCCAAATTCACTTTAAATGTCTGTTAATCCACCCCTCTCTACTTGAGAGTATCTATAACCAAATGGTTTGACTTGGTACAACGGGTAGTCAACCACTGGCAAAGGCCACAAACTTGACTTAGAATTGTACTAAGATATGCAAGGTACAAATCATCGAGACTTCTAACACAAAATCACAATGCGATTGGTACACATTTTAATTGACTAGCAATAGGTTGGTGCAGCTATTTTGTAAGCATCTTCATCCTGCTGACTGCATACCCCTCGCACCGTTACGGTCCTTCAAGTGTTCGTCACGCCAACGGATAGTTTAGCGACGGGGCCAGAATGCCCACGCAAATCCTGGGAACATGACAGCAACTATAACAGCAGAAATGAGGTTCACACCATTGTTGTCCAAGATTGGCCTTCCAGAGATGTGCTTGGTTTGTGTTGACGGCACATTGACCACGACACCGCGGTGCTCATCGTATCCTGCACAGACACGTACACACGTTTTAAAAATCGATTTTAAAATCGGTTACACTGTCACAACTCGATAAGTTTTGATCACACGTCACAAAGCTTGAAAGGGTGATCGTCGTAAGCCTCTGTTGCATACGAGTCGATGCGTAACACTTAAAAGTAGGGCAGAGAGGAGACGTGGATAAAGCAAGGCAGCAAAAGAACTGGAGGAAATAAATGAATTCACAGACAGCAGAGACACTTTGCAGAAGAAAGTTTGTTGCATTTGTATACTTTTATGGCGTTAAAATATTTTGTAAAACCACGAAGAAACGTCTTGGTTATGATGTGCAAGTGCACACACAAATATGCACTACACAAACACCATCATCACCTTTAATAACACATCTTTGCTAAAATAGTGGCATAGCAGCTAAAAAGCACAAACACTACCAAGGTGAAAAACCATGACCTCTCCAAACTACACTTCAAAGACTGGCCCCCATGTCAATACCATCCCAGCTACGTACAAGGTGATGAGATCAACACCTCCCCCTCTTTGGCAAAGGCTGAAAAGAGAAAAGTATAAAAGGCTTTCCTGGTGAGTCACAGGAGCATCTACGTCTTTGCAAGCTGCGCCAAACAATGTATTCACCTTCAGCAGTGCAAGCTCCTTTGGTCAAAGCACTTTGAGATCCACTGCCACTCTTTTTATCTTTTAACCCATTTGATTCTGACTGTGCCATCGCTGTCATACGAGACAAAGCATCCATTTAAATGTCTCAAAGAGCAGTGCAACCATTTGTGTTGTAGACCATAGAAGCGGATATCACAAAGCTACCTCTGAAATTCTTTCAAGTGAGCTTTCGTCCGCACAATGGTGGACACTTTCACACGAGCTGGAATTTTGCCAAATTGAGGAACCAAATTCAGTATTTTTGAGTAGTCACTGGTTACCAAGGTGAGACCATAAAATCACCACACTTGAGAACCCAGTTTAATCATAGGCAGCCAGCCAGTTTAATTACAGCCGGAATCCTAAATTCGAACCCAAGATCTCAGCGGAGCCAGCTCAGCGCTCTGAACTCCGAGCCATTCGGCCGCCTCCGAGATGCACTACCGCTCGTCAAAGTAAACTGTGCACGGCTACGGGGAGGACAGTAAGGGAGCCCTCGACTGGAAACGCACACCTACCTGAGTACTGCATGGAGGCACCGAGATACGAGTCGATCAGGGATCCCAGGAGACCGGCCACACCACCGTACACGATGAGCGGCCACTGGGAGGGCACGCGGTCGAGCTCCCGCGAGCTCAAGGCAGAGAGCGTCACAAAGAAGGCAAGCCCCACCAACAGTCCACCGCACAGGCTGGCGAGCAGCCCCACCACTGTCACACCGCCGTTGGTGCCTGCGTGGGGAAGGTGCACGGTCATCACGTGGATGCAGCCATTGTACATGTACAGCCCTTTTATCCATTCACTGCTGGGCGAGGGCTATATGCGTGTAAAACTTCTTTCGCACCTTACGTAGCCAACCTTGCTCGTCGGAGGCGCAGCCTATTTAACACTGTGCAAGTCGCGGCGGTTGTGACCACGTTTCATCACGCTGGTCAGTGCAGGTTGGCGATGGAGGTGCCCAAGACCAGTTGAAATAGAACTCGCCACCGATGTTAGCCGTTGCCAGGAATCGAACTCGCCACTGTGTTGCAACCACTGTGCTGCTGCTCGATCAATTACAAAGTCCAAACATTTATGTGGTGTGGGTTGCTGGAGAGGCGGGGAAGCGGTGACGTTGACGCAGAGTACAGAACTTGCCATACTAAAGAACAAGATGTACACAGGTACTAGCAAAAAGGGGACAGTATATCATGGTGTACATTGGGCTGAGGTGGGCAGCAGTGGGCAGAGTGCAATAAAATACATTTCTGTACTTCTATGCTCTGACATTCATGCTCCTTCCCATCACCAAATCGCACTGATCAGCGTGATGAATCACAGTCAAATAACCCCATAAGTCACGTGGACTAGAAAAGCCCTCATCCAGCAGTGGATTGAGAAAAGGGCTGTAAATAAAATATAATTATAGCATTGGACAATGAACCTCAACAAGTAGAAAAGACTTGCAATCGACTGATACAGAACTGAATTCACAACCGAGCCGGGTCTGACATGGGGCATTAGGAGTCCTGTACAGTTACTGGTAAATATAGTCGACCAGTCACTTGGAAAGGGGTTGTGGACCCGGCACTCACCAGGGGGCACCTTGCAGCCCGTGGTGACAAGGCGCGGCGACGAGCGAGCCAGAATCGGCCCCACTTCGGAGGCCCACGTATCGCCGCAGCTGCACGCGAGGGCCCCCAGGAGTGCCAGGCAGAGCCACGAGGCAGAGTAGTGCGACGAGAAGTCAATGGGCAGCTGCCCGGGCCCCACCTCGATCACATAAAGCAGCGCCAGTTCGGTGGGAACGCCGCCGTTGCAGAACACCTGAACCCAGTTGCGCTGTCCGCCTGTAGAGGAACAGCAGCGTAGGCATGTGGTTGCACGTGCGCACAAAAAGACAAAGATTTCCCCCTGCGTAGGCTTTATAGACTGTTGGGGGCAAAACAATGTTAGCTAGCACCTATTGGGGCCGATGTGGCAAAATATACTATTTTGATTTATTTTACCAGATAAGGCCCACCGAGCTTTACATTATAGCTCTTTTCAGAAGCGACCTGGCCACAAATAATGGCTCAAAGTGGCTTATCATGTGGACATTTATAGCAGCCAAATACTGAAAATGTGGAGGGAAAAACTAGACCCGGAGAAAAATCCACGCAACCACAGGGAGAGAGACATACAAACTCCAAATATACAGCAGGCACCAGGGTCGGGATCGAACCGACGACCTCCTGTATACCAAGAGAGGTAGTTAACATCTTGCCAACATGGCACCCCTCACCACCAGATCTTGTAGTCACACCACCACAAGATGTCCTAAAAACACTATCCTTGGCTACTCATGCTCAAGGGGCTGTAACAGAAAGAAATACACACGGCAACAAAGGTTTGTGCAGCATTCGCTCAAATAATTACCCCGACGGATGTGTCTGCGAGTTGTATAATTGAAGAGCATGCAAATGTGTTTTTACTTCTTCCAACTCACAGCAAGATATAGTATCTGAATGGCAAATAAAAAATGTCCAAGCTGTATAACAAGCCAATGAAATTCCCGTTATGAATGCTTGCGATTTTTAAAGCGATGTTTTATTACCATCTGCTGCCAAGTTCGCACTATTAGGCAAGGAGCAATGCACTGAGAAATCTGTGAATTAACTTGCCTATGCCATATTAAATTAGCATTGATTGTAAAAAGGAGTGGAGACAAAACTGCTTTAGACCGCAAAGGACAATTGCAGTCTGCATGATTTGATGGTCAACCTCATGCAGTTAAAAGCTGACATTTAACACTGCGGTTCCCAAAGTCTGGCAAGTAAAATGAAACAGGAACAGACTTTGCTTGCGGCACAGTAGGTATTGTCCCGTCACAAAGGGCAAGAAAAGTGCCGGGTATTTTTGTTTAGGAAAATCTCTGCAGCTAAAATGTACACAGCTGGTTCATGCAACCCCAGTAATGTTATGGCAATGAATGTGCCAAAGTCTATAACAATCATTTAACCGCGTCTTCTGTAATTAATAACATTTACTCTCTGTAAACCAGAACAAAGATTTATCTTGAGGTTACTGCGGTTCCTATGCCCCAGAGAATCAGCGGAGTGCCCTGTAACATGTTTTAACATTCTGCAAGCAAAGCCACAAATCATTTGCTGTTTGTACACTGGTAGTGCAGCTTATTGGCCACATATGCCAAAGGGGATTTCTTTAGACCCGCTAGGGATCACTGATTCTGAATTGAGTCTTGGAAGAGCCCTGTCACGGGTAACTGCATATGTTTGTCACCGTTCTAAGTTTAGCCTTTAGAGACAACAGCTACAGTTTTATTTGCTCCATTAACTAAGCGTACTCACCTTCTCTATACTCAGGATCCAGCCGTTTCTTTATCTCACCCTTCCACTTAGTGAGCCATGAGGAGGTCATATAAAACACCAGCATTGATGCAAAGAAGCAGTAGTTTGAAGATGTTAACACAAACCCGACAATCAGTGCTGTGGACAAGAGACACCAATTTAAAGAGTATTCTGAACAACAACAAAAAGTCTCGAAAAGGCATTACTATGCATCAAATTCAGCATTTGAAAATATTTTTTCAAAATACATGCAAACGGTATGCATAGATGATTCATTGTACGTTTAGGTTAATAGTGTGAACAAAATATTACAAGTGATACAAAGCAAATGAGGAAGACAAAATACAGTAAAAATGAACCATAGAGATATCTATTCTTCATTAAAATCACGACCCTGAATAATGACAAATGTATTTATTTCTCATCCGATTAAAAAATAATTTGCATACTAGACGGTGAATAAGCAGCTAACAATTTATATTCAGATATTATATTTGCCTCATCTTGGGATGAAATAATGTTGATAATTGACTAGAAAAGCAATTCCATTAAGCATTACCCACCAAACAAAACACATAAGAAAAACATTCCCCCTTGGGTATAAATTACTGCTTCGTGAACTGTAGAAAATTCTTAATTTATTCTCTTCATTCAAAATAATTATTGTGCTACCTTATCTGTGGTGCACGAAATTAAAGCAGCTTTTCAAAAATGCATTTTAATGTGCTCACTAAACTCAGAACGCAGCTGCAAATTAGTAGCTGCATGACCATAATCATGAAACAAGAATGCGGTAGCATCCATTTTCCCTGCAGCAGATCATCAATTGACATTTTCATGAATTTCAAATTACAATTCGTCTCGCATAATGAATTGCCGGCTTACAAAACCCAAGCCTTGGTTTGCAGACTGCTAGATCACGCCATAGGTTGGGGGAGCTAACACAGCCACAGGTTGGGGGGCTAACACAGCCACATCGACCATGCCGAGTAGTTTGGTTCAACTGTATCGCATAATGAATTGCCGGCTAACAAAACCCAAGCCTTGGTTTGCAGACTGCTAGATCACGCCATAGGTTGGGGGGAGCTAACACAGCCACAGGTTGGGGGGCTAACACAGCCACATCGACCATGCCGAGTAGTTTGGTTCAACTGTATTGATTGTGACTGACAAACAATCTGTTTTCCGGCGGCATAAGCTGAAAAGGTGAATTGGTTGAGAGGCACTGCCCTCTAGGGGAAAACTCTACCTAAGGAGATGCAATTATTTTAGGAAAGCCAGAATGGGATACATTTTGGCATTTCTATCCAAGTTGTAGAGCTACTCTGACAACTGTCACTGCGTATTTCAGTTGGTTTATATTTCAATTCGTTTGCTGTCAGCAGAAAAACACACTTGGGCACATGAAAAAGTATTTTTAGATTTCATGCTGCTTGCAGATCCTAAGAAAATATATTTTTAAAAGTGTAAAAATAAAAATTGTTTGATGATTCATAATTTTTTTTGTAAGATTGCAAAAGGAAAATGCCAATGTGACGCCCTCCTCCAGCTGACACAGACAAAAAAAAGTATATTCAAGTGCCAATAGTAAATTGGCATGTTTGTTCATGTGACTTTATATATATTACTGTCGGGTGGAGGAGGATGTACGACAAAGAGGTGGCATTGTACTCGGATAAAGAGACCCGATCCAAAAATATATTATAAGTTACAAAAATTGCATTCATGCTTTCACTAAAATAAAAGTTAACATTTCATGAAAATTATACAATTATTGCACAATACGATTCAAAGCATGCATTTCATCTGAAAAAAATATGAAAGCGAAACAGATCACCACTAAAAACGTAACACAATTAATTGCATTTTTTATATTTTTTTATTTTAATTTATTTCTAACTACGTAACTTTACCGAAAGAACCAAAGAGTATGGATTCCTGCAGTCACGAAAGCATCACCACAATTAAGGAAATACCTTTTTAGGAAAACTATTAAACAGCAAAGATTTAAAAAATAACTGTCAATTAAAACTTCATCACGAAACAAATGGGCTAACCGATTCGCAAACAAACGTAAAGCATAAACACTACAGTAAAGAGCATATTTTCAATCATCGCAAGAATGAGTGTTTTTTTTATTAACACAACTTTGCCACCACTCAGCCCCTCTCTCCACCTTCCCCACAAACGCAAGGTAACACACAGAGGCAGGTGTATGTTTCGATATCATTGGGTGGATTTTTTCTATACATCATGACCCGCATGCATTTTGTTCGAAATATAGCAAAAATAATCAAACACACCATTTTCACGTGTGAGGGATACGTTATGAAAGGTGGTGTTTTTTTTATTTTCTGCAAATCCAGCTGAATGTACAACTGTATTGTATTCCAGTTGTAAATTCAGCTGCATTCACGATACACTTACAATTGCCGATGGGAATAAAATGAAGCCAGAGAGAGAAAATGCACGAATGCAAAAAGTGACAGGTTTTCAATGGGTCATACTCAATGTGTCACAATATCCGTTTCCACTCTGGTATTTCAGTGCCGACAAGACACAGTGCAGTTTACCTGCCATGGCCCCGCTTCGATCCAGACTTTTCTTTTGCAGCCCTCGGTAAGTGATGAATAATGGGATGACCACAGACAGCAACCAGCGCCAGGGAGACACAGTCAAAGTTCCTGCGTCACAGTTCAGTGAAGTTAACACGCTGAGGCACCCCAAATGCCGTTTCAATTATTAAAAAGTGTGCAGCATGTTGTCACTGGAATATTAAGAATTACGATTACACACTAAGAACATTTTTCAGACGTGTTTAATATTCTGCTATCAGGTGCATTGCATGTGGAAGATAAAGGGGACAGAAAATGTTGCATTCACTATCAAATTAATCATTTCAGGTCCTTTGAATTCACTCTTTATTGGAATTGCAAAATACACAACCAGATTATAGCGATATACACATGGTCATTATTATGAAAAATACTGGTGGGAAAATGTTAATTAACTCGCATTATTACATTACACACAGGAGCAGAAAATGTAAAAAAATATATTGGAAAAAAAACCCTACAATATCTACAGGTTCTACTCATTAATTACGTGAGAAAATATATATTCCAGAAAATTGTGAAACATAACAATTAAGTGGTATAAGGAATAATAAATTGAACACATTTTAATACGGTGCACACCAAGGTTTATAAAATAACCTCTGTTCTGCAATTTCATTATTTTTGCCAATTGTGTATCCTACTACTGAAAAGGTGGATTAATTTAATTCTTAACAAGCCATTCCAAATGTCTCTGTTGGCAACAAACTCAAGGAGCCAAATAACAAAATGCAACAAACCCAAAGCATATTTTTTTACTGAAAGCAGCAAAAAAGGTGTAGTTCTCTGGTTTATAGCAACAAAATATTGACGTTGAACAATCCCTATGTCCAGTTATAAAGGCCAAAGCCCATTCCTTACCATAGTGATAGTTGAGCATGAGTGAGAAAACCCAGAAGGTGAGGGATATGGAGATGAGGGAGCACAAGATGACCACGTTAAACATCATGATCAACAGCTCGATCCACGTCTCCTGATGCAGCAACCATGCGCTCTTGAGCTCAAAACCTGTATGCAAGAAACACATTAAATGGGCAATAAAATACCAAATAAATGTTGTTTTTAAACCTGCAAGGCTATTACTTGCAATTATACACCACCTTCTTGGTTCTTTCGGTAAAGTCACGTAGAAGGGAAATAATAAAATAATAAAAATTTTACATAATAAAAAATAAAATTCTCACGACGTTTCGGCCACAACACAAGCAGCCGTCTTCAGGTGAAGAAACAGAACTGTCGGAAAGACAGCGTTCCAATGAACACTGCTAAGCTTGGCAGCATCTTTTAAGCTGGGTGGGAGGAGCAGAGCGCCTTGACAAAGGAGTTTACATATCAACAGAAGAATTGGAGAATATATTGAGTACATTGATGTAGTTTATATTTAGTTCTTTCACATCGGTTTATTGTATGATAGGTGGGTAGTTGTAGTTCTTTAGCATCAATATACTAAATGCCTCTGTTGATATGTAAACTGACTATAACATAGCTACTTCCGTGACCAGTTACATGCTAATTCCTCACATTAACATCATGCTAATCTCCCAGTTACATGCTAATTTCTGACTTTAACATCCTGCTAATCTAGCACATTAACTTAGCTACTTCAATGCTAAATTATTCTGTTGATATGTAAACTCCTTTGTCAAGGCGCTCTGCTCCTCCCACCCAGCTTAAAATATGCTGCCAAGCTTAGCAGTGTTCATTGGAGCGCTGTCTTTCCGACAGTTCTGTTTCTTTACCTGAAGACGGCTGCTTGTGTTGTGGCGGAAAAGTCGTGAGAATTTTATTTGTAATTGTTTTATTTTATTATTGTATTATTTCCCTTCTACGTGACTTTACCGAAAGAACCAAGAAGATGAATCCATGCAGTCACGCAAGCTTGCAATCTAAATTATACACCACGTAACATTCTACCGCAAAAGAATGTGTTCAGCCTGCACACTTTAATGTTGATGCCGTGTGTGCATTGTACATCTTTGCATGTTCATAAATGAACTTTGTAAACAAACATATGTGGTACTGCAACAGAGTTATCCGACAATCATTCATTATATCTGGATAGTGGATCCCTACATGTTGGTTAATTTGTCTCATACCATTATACCCTAGTGGGTTTCCACCAAATTGCTGCATCCCAGCATCTACATGTTTGCAAGTACAGAAGATCAATATATACAGCCCTTTGTGAATCCACTGCTGGATGATGGATTCCCCATGCTGTGTGGGTCAAGAGGGTTGTTTGAACATACTTCCCCACGCTGGTCAGTGCAAGTTTGTCAAGGGGGGCAGGTCCAGGAATCAGTTCAGTTATAACGTGCCAGACCTTGCACTTAGGTCACCGAGTTAAAAATACACTAATCCACTGAATTCACTCATGTAATGCTCTAATTACTGTTAACAATGCACCACCAATACCACTACAGTATGTTTACACTTATTACCCTTCATAAATCCACCGCTGGATGAAAGTAATGCGTTATGATCAGTCCAGTATTAGGCAGTCTATCACCAAAACACCCACAATGTACCCAATCTCATAATAATTTAGAAAGTTTAAGGTTTAGCTTTGATAGCACTTGGATGGGCGACCACCATTGCATGAAAGTTGTTATAGGCTTTAGACCGTGGTGCTGCAATTCTGGACAGAAGGCTGAGCAGAAGGATCCAATTGCTGTACGTTACTTTCTATACTCCATCTGGTTCCCATCTTCTCACCGACCACCGTCGTGTTATATGGTCTGATAATCTTCACGACTTTCACGAACGTCAGCGCCACATAGCGGTTTCAAGAATACACAGCATAAAATAAAGGTCTAAAACGTCATATTGACTAAAGGCGTGGACTTGTGTATTGTGGGGCTCAGGAAGTGGGTGGGGGGGGCAGTACTCTTGATTGGGGGCCATCATACCAAAAACGTTGTGAAGCACTGCATTAAATCATAGCTCGTAGCGTTCGGCAAAGTTATATCAATTCCGTGCGATGTGAGATTCCTGAAATGCCCTCTGAAATCTCACCTGAAAAGTGACACTTGATACCAGCACACAAGTGTATGTTATTGCGGGCAGACTGTGTTTTTTTTAAGATAGAAATACAACTAAAAAAACAGCACATCTCTACGGTGCTGCTCATCTGTTTCCACTTTGCAGTGTTGAGGCAGAGGTGTGTTTCCACATTACTATGCTGGGGTTGAGTACATCCCTTGGACTCCAAAGATGAAGTCCTTAATGGAAACTCTTTAAATCAATCATGTGTTGTAATGTATTCAGCTGTGAATACATTCCAGTACAACATACAAATACGCTGTGAATACATTCCAGCACAATATTACTTGACAGTGGTTTACAATGAATTTATGTTGCAGCTTGAAGACCACACTATACTTATGTACATTCAACAAATATGTATCGTTAAAATAACGTTTATGGGGTATGCACGAACATAACTTTTAAAATATAAAAAAGGAGACATTGCAAAAGATATGTTAAGAGAATGTTGGGGGTCTGACACGCAGTCTCAAATTTTTGTTATATACTCCAATACAATTCTACTATAAACTACCTAACATTAACCTATAATTTAACATGTATTACACGACATAACATCGCTGTACAACAATTAAAATGCTCTATCCAGTAAATCAACTTGAGAATTTGTCCACGTGACAACTTGCGAGTATTTAAAGAATTGCCATTATACCTGCAGGACGATCCAACCCAATAATGAAGTATTGTCAAACTAATTGTTGGTCGTCAAAGCCTTATTATAATCTTTATTTTTCAATTACGCCAAAATCATCGTTTTCCGCGGTCATGTATGGCACAAAAAAGTGTGGGTTCGTCTCACATACAGACAGGTAACAAAAGTTCCAACATTGTCATCGAGAATTCTAGATATGACTTTTACTCCTTCACGCTCCGGGCTGACGCACAAACATAAACCTTTTTACCTAGTATTTGGTAACTAATCGTACCTTTTTTAAAAACTGGTAATCGCAAATCAACTAACATTTTATTCTCATCAAGCTCCGAGGTTATTAGGCGCAGTCTCCAACCCTTATTAAACCTCTTTGGCCTCTAACCATGAGCTATGAAGAAGGACCATTGCCCAAAACGTTGCCCATTATATACTGCATATTTTCTCCCCCATTTTAAGGCCACCCACAGTGGTGTCATTCACGAATGTGGCGTTGTTAATTGTACCACTGCCACCGCAACATCACCAAATACATGTGTTTAATTCGCTTAAGAGAGCCAACACCCAGAACCACGCGTGACGCCTGCAGCTACCGCTTTATAAAGTATCGCAACTGTACGCAAATTTCGTCGTGATTTACAATAAACAAAAGTTATTAAACTAGGGACACTGGGCTAAAACTAGGCTAAGGCGGTGTTTTTCTGTATGCCCCTCCCCCCACTAACCCAGTGGTGGAAATTCCACATTACTATGACGGGGGTGAATTAATTCCGCTAACAAGTGGTTCCTTATTTTATCGACCCCCGCAAAAGGGACGGCGGCTGCCCCGCGTGTCGATCTCCAGTAAATAAAACTCTAAGTTAAACGTCATTAATGCAATAAAAAGAACCACGCTACAACTTTAATTACCGTCCACTCTTCAAGGACCCACGTTTCGTTTTACGATAACAGCAGAGCGCTCGACGCGCACCAACTCGCAATTTAGTCTGGAGAGTCAACAGTAACACGTTTGTTTATTGTAGTATTGTTGCCATACTCTTGGTTTCTTTCGGTAAAGTCACGTAGGTATAAAATAAAATAAATTAAACCACGACGTTTCGGGCGCACACACAAGCGTCCGTCCCACCTGATGACGCCTGGGGAACGGACGCTTGCGTGCGCGCCCGAAACGTCGTGGTTTAATTTATTTTTTGTATTTTATACCTACGTGACTTTACCGAAAGAAGCAAAGAGTATTGATCCCTTCAGTCACGAAAACTTCAAATCTAGTATTGTTGCTATCTGTGCGTGCAGACGGAACGGGGCATGTGCACTCCCTCCCCCACCCCCCAACAACAACAGCAGCAACAACAACAAAAGCCTCACGATGCGTCGCATGCAGAGAGGAACTTTCGCCCGACAATCTCACGGCGACGAAGCTGTCCATGTCGACGGGCGGCGCGGCGGCCGCGAACAAACCCGCCCGAGTCTCCTCGCGGCCATTTCAACGCGCCAGCCCGAGAGACGCATTTAGTTTCAATCCGCAGTCCGGATGCGCGTCGCCGATGATACGGCGCCTCCGATTGGTCAACGGCGGCGGGGCGGTTCCCTCGTCCGCCAATGGCGAGCGCCAACGCGCACGCTGTCGCCTAAGCGTCGTGGGATATTTGAACTCGGTTTTGAGGCGACATTTTTTGGCGCGGTTCTTAGGGTTCAATAAATGAACCCTGCACCTTGCACAGGAATCAAACCTTGACGTTTTGGTTTTAATTCGGGGGTGGGGGTCGGTTTAGTGATTCTGTGGCAATCTCAATAGCTTACCAAAGCAAACGCAGGCGAACACTTGTGATTTTGTGGCAATCGGTGGACACCAACCAGGGCTTTTAGAGCCACGCGCTGCTATAAATGTTCCTCTATTTCGAGAAACATGATTCATATTCTTTGGTTCTTTCGGTAAAGTCACGTAGATAGAACCCACCCCTACCCTCTCTGCTATTACATTTACTTGCAAATTTCATCCCCGCCCACTTACACTTGGGTTGTACCCACCATAAACGTATACAACCTCTGGTTGCAGTAACTATCTCGCTACATGTCATCCTCAGCTGTATTGTTTCACCTGAAGACGATGGCTTGTGTTGCTATCGAAACGTCGTGATTTCTTAGTTGTTATTTTTGTTTCTACCTACGTGACTTTACCGAAAGAACCGTAGAGTATGAATTCCTCTAGTCACGAAAAACTTCAAATTAGGATTCATTTTCCATGGGTTTAGAGAGACATGAAAATAATTCACTGGGTTATTAGTGTGCAAAAAAATAATAGGTTTGAGGGTTTAATACATCCAGGAGATTTTCCTTGGGCTCTCAGCAAAACTGTAAAACAATAGTATTTTTTTAAATATATATTTACACAAAGGATCATATCAAAGCAGTCTCACGGTGATTTTAAAATTGTATTGGGTATTTGAACGACATTATTTCTAGGCTTCATTGCACATGTTTAAGAGCTCAAACATACATCCCAGCCACGGTGAAAAATCAACTTGAGTTGAGTTGATATAATCAAATGCTCTCATCTGCCCGATAAACCACTTTATTATAATATATGTTGATAAGTCTCAATGATCATAGTGATGACGTGTATTTTGGTGACGATGAATATATTAAGAACATGACGGTGATGTATTTTATGTTGATGACTTTGGTATTGACAGCTGTGATGATGATGATGGTGTTGATGATACCTCGGGTGATGATTCCAGTGATGTTCCATGAATAGGAGGAACCCAGGATGAATATCAGCATCCACTAAATTTGTGGTATTATTTTATGGGATAATAAGGAAAAGAGGAGGAATGTGGACATAGGCAACACATTCATTTTATTATAATTTATCTGTAAATTTGACCTGAACAGATATGATCCACATGTGATCTCCTGGGCCAATGTCATTCACCTGTCAATCAGCACAGAAAAGTAACCTAGAAATTACAGCAAAACAGTACTGTATATGAACGTATTGGCGTTACACTGGTGCTTGAAAAAAAAGCAAAATTTTCACAATCATTACTTATTTTTCCACGATTGCGGGATGCGATAAAATCAGTTATCGCGATGTCGAAGCAGTCGGAAGAGGAATGCCAGTTCAAATTGTGTTTCTTTTAGACTCGTTTATGAGGACCGTCCGTATTCTATTCACCACATGTATCAACGTATGATTCTGTAACACATTCCTGTGGAGGGAGCTGGTAGGAACGTGGGTTGCTCGGTCAATGGCCAGGGTTAACGGCGGCACGTGGTGCATTCCGCAAATATGCCCGACTGTGAGGGCGAGCACAAGCCGGCGTGAGTAGGTTAAGCGTTGAGTTTTATAAGGGCACCACGGGGTGACCAGCCCCTCCCCACCCAGCCCCACCCCTCCCACCCCCCACCCAGCCCCACCCTCCCCACCCAGCCCCTCCCCACCCAGCCCCTCCCCACCCTTCCCTCCCCACCCAGCCCCTCCCCACCCAGCCCCTCCCCTCCCAGCCCCTTCCCACCCTCCCCTCCCCACCCTCCCCTCTCCACCGAGCCCCACACCTCCCATTTTTGGATGCACGACGGACGGACGGACACAATAATCCCCTGTGGGCTGGTGTAACCAGGAGGTTCCTACCAGTATAACAAATGATGCTGGATTGTCCTGATTTGTAGCATTGGGCCCATCAAGCACAGTAAAAGCAATCACGCGATGTGTGTCTTGGTGGATTATGGGCTATACATTAAAGAAACGTGGTGTCACCTATGGGTGTCAAGGGGCAGAGCGGAAATGCAAAGATGAATAGTGTTTCAGTGGAGAAACAGCAGTAGGGCAGTGGGATGCAACGTTGGGTTTGGAGGCTCCAGCAATAATAAAGCAGAGAGTAAGCAAATAAACATCTATGTGCCAAATGACAAGAACGAGATCAGGGACCTCGAGCGAAGGTGGTGAGAAAGACGTTTACGAGAAAGGGGAGTCGATGTTAGCAGGATTGGGACACTCGATGCGGGCAACATCAGAATTAGAATATTCATTCATACTGGAGGAATCCGATGAGCTATAATTATCTTTTTTCACAGATGCCACCCGTTAGCTGCCCACCTGCTCATCCTGCTCTCTGCTTCGCCAAAATGTGACGTTGCCACTGTTAGATGCGGCCCAACTTTAACAATCGACGGTGACGCCAGCAGGGGGCACCAGAAGTTGGAGGAACGAGTGACATGGGCAAAATATATGCAGCCACGTGTAAAATAATGGGCTCTGCTGCAACGGATTCTCCGGGGCCAATGACATGCAGGTTTGGCTCCAATGTCATATCGAATTGCCGGTGCACCATTCGAAGGGGCGAATGCCTGGCAGGAAGGTGCTGAGTTGGTACAGGGTACTGAATTTTGTTGATATGGCCAGATTTCCCGGCAAAATAGACGAATCATGACCAATGTCTTCATTGTTTTTTTGTATAAATATAGTTTATTGATGATTAATGATGTTCATTAGCTGTTAGTATTACTCTTTTTCTCTTTTGTGTTAAAGGTATGCATAGTAACCCTCTACATATTCGGTGGCTCGGGCTCAGATGATGACCCGAATTCCAGATTTAAAGAATTCGAGGAGCAGAAGCAAGCTCTTGGTATTACCACACCATACCAAGGTGGACATGGAACACAGCAATGTATTTAGTACTGTCATTTCTGTAATTTTATATTTTATATGATTTATATTTAGTTCAAATTCAACATGAATACCAACATTCACTTGCAAGATTTCAGCACTGGATTTATTACTCTGTAATTTAATATATTTTGAAATATATATGATTTATACTTGGATCACATTCAACATGATTCAATTGCCAGATGTCAACAATGTCTCTGATACCCACAATTAAAGTATTTTGGCTCAAGCTCCCACTGCGGAGTCCCACCTGGAGTTGACAATCACGAACGATGATGTTGGGCCTCTGCATGGTTCTCTTGAGACCGAGAAGCATATGTGCCAAGATGACAACCATTATATTGCCATTGTAAATCATTCAAATATAAATTACATATTAGCAAGGGTTTGGGGTTTTTTTTCCATACCTAACATTCACAAGTAGGAGCAGTGGTGCGTGCATACATTATATGGTACAGAGCTTAACAATGCTGTCCCTACTGCTGTAACATTAACCATGGGAATGTCAGTTCATGCCCCTTCTTAGACCTTTGCATTGCGTCATTATGACACAGTGCCTGGAAATGTGCAAACATAAAAATACATAGATACTGTACAGGACGAAACGGTTGCTACATTTGCACCTTCCTCTCCTTACATATTTTGCAAAAGAGATTTATTGCACTATTGGATTGCAATATTATTGGGCATATGTGCCCGGCTTTTTCACATTTGCATATAATTTTTCTCTAAATTGTGAAATACTTCTATTTACCGTTCTCTAATATAGAGGGTTTCACCCAATTGTGTTTTTTTTGTTAAATAATTTCAAGTACAAAGCCAATCAAAGCCATAACCCTCTACCACCTGACAAAACAAACAGAATCAAGTTGTCACGTGTGATGAAACGTGGCAATGGATTCTGATTTTCAGCATAACGGCATTGTTGAAAAACAACGTTTGAACGGCGTTACGTGTGAAGTTTGGCTGGGGGTTACATCCAGCACCACCTGGTGTCATCAAGGCCTCACCTCTCGCGTAACGGTCGCACTCCTTTAAAGTGAGATCGTCTCGGTGCGCTTCATCTCATGGCATTACCACGGATGGCATTGGGGTGGGGGTTGTTGTTAATGGTATGCAATGACGCATCAATTCACTGATTAATCTGCACTCACTCTCCCGATAATGCATTGTAATGTGTGTGTGTGAGATACGGTAATTGATTAGATTTACTTATGATTTACATTAAACATTGCATTAGTATATGCCACTATTGCATTCAGGCCGATGAAACACATGAGGCACAACAAACAATACATTTAAACAAACACAATATGAATGAGAAAGTAAAAATTAGACAGCAAAGAATGTATCTTTGAATTGGATTGTGACCCCAAATTGTAGAATTTCGCCAAATCGCCAAGAGGAGCGAATAATGAATCAAATGCCTAATGACGATGCCCAACTCCTTGATATTTTCTCTCACCTAATAATCACAGCATTCTCTTGATTCAGCAGTGTAACATTGTATTAGTTAATGTACATTCAAAACACAGTTCATAATATCTCTCAACAGCGTTTTACAGAAACCCTTTGGTCTGACAAAAAATATACTTTATTAGATTCAAGCCAGCGATTCTGGCCAGACGTTACCAATCACATTCCAGGTGCTTAATATTTGGTATTGTCGGTGTATTGCTAGCATCTGTTCAGCTTTAGTGGCTTCCCATATTGTTTCCACGTGTGTTGGTGAATTAAGATTGATTAGGCTGCTACTACCAATAAGCAGAAATAGCAACAACCACACCAGGGACGACAACAATGGAGTGCCCACTTCTAATGAACACTGGTATATGATGAAACAATAAAACGTAGTTTTGTATAC